ATCCGTCAATCGGCCAGTCAATCAATAGCTGTTCTTAATAATACTGAATACTATCCACAATGGCGTCAGTCAGTCTATCAGTCAGTCAACTAGTCAATCAATTTGTCGTCAGTCATCAGTCGCTCAATCAATGCGGTTTCCTCTCAGTCTAGCCTGTTTGTGCACAGCTGCTTATGCAACCCATTCAATCAATCAATCATTGCTATCTCATTCGACTCGTACTCACATGCTGATCCTCGCTGGAGAAGGCGAAATTACTGCGCATACACGCATATTCGGGCAGCTCCTCGGTGGATGCGTAATATTGAACCACATGCCAATTGCCCATCATTAGCTCCAGATCAAAGTTGCGTATGGCGCGCACCTGTCGGTGGGAGGGGATGGGAGAATCAAAAGAGTAACAGTGTAGGTGTGTGCGTGTGCGTGAGTGTGTGTGAGTGTGTAGAATGCACTTGTAGAAAGCTAACACATAAACATAAATCAGAATAACAACAGCAAAGATTCATTGAGGCAAATGTGCGTGCCAGCTGAAATTAAGCCACACACACACGCACACACACACACACATACACACACACAAACATAGGTCTAGTTGCATGTCACTTTGTGCATTTGTTCAATTTGTTTCTTTAGCTTTTGGCTGTGAGTTTTACAAGTGCAGCACAAAAAAAATACTGATTTGCTAGCAGATACCCTGTATGTTGGTGAGAGTATGTATACATTTCTATGTATATCCCTTTAGACGTCCTTAGCTTCTCCAGCAACAGCAGACTCGCTGTCATCGCCATAAGTTTGCTTTATATGTATATGTCTATCAACCCCATCTAGAATAAAGATATATACATACATATCCACACTTAATCGAACACACAGCCTGATCATCTCACAACCTTACAATTTCCAGGGTATAGAACAGAAATCGCCTGTCAAAGCTGCGACGCGGCCAATGGCGATGCCATTGCTGACGTTGCTGCTAGCAGCGACAGCGCTGGCAGCGGCAACGGCAACGGCAACGTCGACTGCGACACGCGGTCCGTCAACTCAGGCACTTAGAAAGTGTGATTGATTTTGGCATCAGTGTGCGCCCATTTCTTTGCCCCCAGACACATTCTGAATTGGAGCCTGGCTGACTCGCATATTGATGAGAGAAGAAACACATACAGAAATCCAGATACACACACACACACACACACACACACACACTCACTGCATAGACTAACATGCAAATGTTTGCTGAGAAGCATTGAGACAAAAACTGAGCGCTTCACGAATTTATCATGTTTATTTTTTTTTTTCTATTTGCAATTGCTTTTGCTCCACTGTCGTGTGTATTGTGTGGGCTGTGGGTGGGGCAGACTCACTTTTGGACATTTTTTGCGCAGATCCGTGCGCTTCTTGCTGAGCGCCGTGTAGCTGTTAAACTTCAGCCAGGCCGCTGCGCTGGGCAGTTCCGTTAGATCAAGGAGCAGCTGTAGCAGCAGCAATGGCAGCACTTGAGCCACCCAATGCCAGAGCAGCATGCCGATAGATAATATTACGCGGATAAGGATAACTTGTGTGGCTCGCTATTATGGCTGTTGTTTTTGTTGTTGTTGTTGTTGTTTGGATTTTATCCGTTTACTTAGAGGCGTGCGCTGCCCTCTGCGCTGTGACTGCCTGACTGGCGAACGGATGCCGCGCAGCGGATTTACTCTTAACGGATAAGACGCCATGTACTAAGTACATAAATACACACATATACACATATGTAGAAATACATACATCTGTATATACAAATATTACACATAGTGTTTATGTAGAGTTTTATTAAAATATTGCGCGTTCTTTTTGTCGCCGCAGCTTATTCATTATCGTAGCTGAAAATAAAACACACACACACACACACACACACACATACATACATACATACATGCAAGCAAAGAGTTGCATGCCTTGAGCTGATAGCTCAGCTATTTTATAGCTAGATTTCTGTAGTGGGATTAAGCAAATATTAAAATTCTAATCAATATGCAAAAATAAATCAAATATATATCACAAACGATCAAATACATACATTCACACATTCGCTGTTAGCTAAATGGATTTCAGATTCACTCAATTTGCATATCATTTCGCTTTTTTCTAGCTCACTCTCTTTGCGCTGCACTGATTGAGTGAACTAGCGGTACTTTGCGAATCAGTGAGCAACAGTGGCGCACACATTGACAGCAAATTTTGTATGTGTGTGCGTGTTTAGTGTTGCAATGCGTCATATTTATACCCTGAACCCATTGAAAATGGGAAATCAGGGTATAATGTTTTTGTGTAAAA